CAGAACCAACCCCACCAGAACCGACCCACCAGAACCAACTCCACCAGAACCACCCCACCAGAACCGACCCACCAGAACCACCCCCACCAGAACCAACCCCACCAGAACCGACCCACCAGAACCAACTCCACCAGAACCCACCCACCAGAACCACCCCACCAGAACCAACCCACCAGAACCGACCCACCAGAACCAACCCCACCGGAACCAACCCACCAGGACCACCCCACCAGAACCGACCCACCAGAACCAACCCCATCAGAACCCACCCACCAGAACCGACCCACCAGAACCAACCCCATCAGAACCGACCCACCAGAACCAACCCACCAGAACCAAACTCTCCGACCTTCACCTTAAAAGCCTTGTTGGGGTCAGGGGGCATCGCCATGGCGGCACCAGTCATCTGGTCCTGCATGATCCGCGATTGGTCAGCAGCTGTGGAGGAAACGGACCAATCAGAGAGCCTTGTTCTGTCGCCACGGAAACAGGAGCAAAACCAATTTTAACATAAACTTAATGGGAGCGAATCTGGAAAAGTTCTGAGTCCAAAACCCAAAATGTGAAAAGTTTAAATAATAGAAATACAAAGATTAGATTAGAAAATGTAACTTTTTTCTGATCCATTTCCTGTTGGTTCTGAAACTAGCGTCATTTTCTATGAAGAAGATTTATTGGAGCGCCAGAACGTTCTGGAAGCAGAACTCACCGTTGTCCTGACCCAGAACCAGGGTGTACATGCTCCTCAGCCCAAACACGTTCAGGAAGTACCAGGAGGCAGAACTCACCCTGCAAACATCAGAACCACAACTATCAGTCCAAAGAACCGGTTCTGGATGCAGCTGCTAGCTTAAATAGAAGAAGTTTGGAAACAGCCCAGAATCGACCTGGAGGACCAGAACCCATCTGACCCAAATTCACTGGTTCTGGTCGGAAGATTCAATGTCGTTAAGACGGCAACTCCCGACTGGAAACTGGTCCGTTTAGCATCAAGCTAGGGGCAGGTTTACCAGGAAGCGAACAGTTTAGCATCAAGCTAGGGGCAGGTTTACCAGGAAGCG